TTTTGTTAGACTTAAAATTCAAAAAAAAGGAAAGTACTGCAAACCTTTTTACTTCCATTTGTGATAATTTGAATTATAAATAGATTTTTTAGTAATTGTAATAAGTATATAATAATGATGAAGTTAGAAATCCTTATCACTACTTCACAACGGAACAAATTTCTCATTTTGTCTGGGCTATTATATTTTTTAATCCTTTCTTATCCAACAATGAAGAAATTGAAGAGTATATAGATTTTGGAATCTTTGAAATTTCAAATATCGGCAAAAACTCAAAGGGAAATGTTCTTTTTTACTATTGATTCAGATTATTTATCTTAACAAATCTTTATTGTCTATGCAACTGCTCGTCGAAATCATTCATACTGTTGGTAACAGTAATATTAGTTCTGAGTGCATAGTGATAGCTAACAGCCAAAATAATCGTGACGATGTTGATAATAGTGATAGACAATAGTAGTAGTAGTAATAATAATAATTAATAACGGTAGTAACAATAGTGATAATTAATAATAATAATAGTAATAATAATAATAATAATAATAATAAATTTGTGGCTGAAATTTTTGGAATATTTGAGCGCAATAAATATAGCAGTAAATGATGCGTGTTTGGTAGAATGACAAAGCTTAGATGGAAAATGGTTGGTATGTCAGTGATTCGTATAATGATAAGCATATCTTATCCTCTTCCTATATAAAATTGTTTTTGAATATGCTATTTGCATTAACTATTATAGCTTTACAAAAGCTGACTGCATTGTCATCAGTCTTTGTCAGGAGTTCCATTTTGATGATAATTATAAAAGAGAGAATTGAAGCAATGATTAAAAATTGTAATTGAATCTTTTTTTGAAATAGTGCATTAAATCAAAGTTATCATCCTTTTGTAAAAATGTCCATTTATTAGAGAATGAAAATACAATAAAATGGTTAAACTGGAAAGAATTCAGTATTAGCATAGGAATTCAAAGTACGATCCGAACCTATGCTCTTTAGTATCATCTCTCAAACAGGAATGATTTGTCAGCCAAATTGATCTTTTACTATTTATTTCTAATTTCCTTCTGACGAAATTTTTTACAATATGCAATTCAAATAAAAGTATTACTGTTGAACACAAATAGTATTTTGGGATCTCATTAGCCTTACGTAGCTTCCAAAACTGTGTGATATTATTGTTGACACACCTAGTGTACCTTGTTTATTTCCACCATTTCACGTAAATTTAGTTTATTAGTGTAACAAAGCAATTGACAAAAAAATCTTGCATGTTGTATGAAGTTGTACAATAACTGTTAACACAGTCTGCATCATTTCAAATCACACAGATTACGGTAATCAAAGTTTTATGCAATATCCGTTGCATAAAGCTGACAACTAAGCGCGAATTGTTTTGTCTACTAATTTATTGATGATGATTCATTTAATCAACAGCTTTGATTGTATAACTGGCAGGAAGTTGTTCGTGGTGATGGTACGAGGTAGGAAGTGTGATATATAGCATTATTTGTTGTGATAAGTATGTTAGTAGAATGATAATAGCAAAAAGAAGAGGGAGACAGGAATGTAAGCTGACACTGGTTAAAATAAGAATGCAAACGAAATGGGATAAGATGATTGTTTAGCAGGGATGAAAAGGCAAGAGAATAATAAGCACCTGTAGAATTACTGCAAAATTTTACGAGCAATAAATCAAATGGTGTAAACTTTTCGCCACTCCTAGATAGAACAGTAGAAGAAGTCTAACTTTCAGTATTATGTTTTGAACACAGACTTTCAGTTTCTTTTATAATCTCATAGTCGCAAACAATAAAACTGAAATGGTATGAAAGGTACGTATGCTAAGATACATCTTTGAGTACTTTTTCGATGAATCATCATTAACGTAGCATACATAGATAAGCAAAGTGTCGGATGAGTTATATGAGTATTTGAATATGAACAAAACAGCAATCAAGTAATCGTTTCAAAGGACAGTTGAAGTTTTGACGATAATTTGATATATAGAAGTTACTTAAATAATTTTTGTGAACTGTATATTCAAATTCTATCAATTTCTCTCTCTTTCTCTCTCTCTCACCCTCTCTCTCTCTCGGTCTCTCTAGTTCTTTATTAAAGATTTAATTGCAGGAAAAGCTTTTGGATCGTCAAATATTTGGTCGAATGCGCTATTTGATTATTATTATTTAAACGTTCATAAAACGCTTTCATATTAATTCCTCTATTATTGCGACACTATTTTTCAGCCTTAATTATTCATGCTTTATCATCCAAGTTATGATGATACTACGATCTCAATAGTATAGTACCACTATACCATTGATATATATAATAAACATATGTTAAATATAAGCGAATCGTTTGCAACAAATATCATTTCTTTTTTTGAACTTTTCATATGTTGCAACTTCTTTCTTTCTCACTTAAGTGAGTCAGAAGGATACAAAGTTGTTGCTATAATGCTCCACTTTTTTTTTTTTATACACAATCTTTTAACTCTATTGGTCAATTCAACCGCTTTCTTTTTTTTGGAATGAAAGATTCTTATCGAGAGCCATATCCACAAGTTCTTGACAACTTAGCTTCTTTTCACTTAAAATTAAAAAGTTCAAAAAAAGGATTTTTCTAAAATCCATTCCATTTTTCCGTTTTTATTCTTAAATATCTCAGGTTTCAATTTATGCTAATTTTTGTACTTGAAACGTAGAGATTCAAAGAAACTCGAAATGAATACTTGTTTTGTTTTTTTTAAATGTGCACAAATATCGTTCAGTAATCGTACTTTCTCATCAGAATAGAAATTGCCTTTCCTGAAATTTACAGAAGTTTCTCGATTCGTGGAAAAATTAAGGAAAGTGTAAATAAGCCAGATAAGAAGTGTATTATTCTCATTTGGCGCTAATCATTTCAATTTATTTTTCTACCATTCAATACCACATTTATTCGAAATTAATTGTAAATGAACGATTCATTTTAATATTTCGACTTGAATGTTTCAGTGAACATATTGTATTGCATCACTATCAAACTCCGACATCTCAAAATGTCATCTTTTTGTATAAACACAGAAGTGTGAGTGTGTTTATAATCTCAAATAACCTCCTATCCATCAATTCATCACTTCTCATATCGAATTCGTCAAAAAAAAAACTCATTCTTATTTTTTTTTTTTTTTGATGAATGCAAATTATAATTGTAATTCAAGTTTTGATAGCATTAAAAAGTTAAAATAATGTCATCTGCCTTAGTAATTTTAAATCATTGCAATATTAGGTTATCAGATTATCTTTACATTCATTATATGTATTTTCCTCATATCGAATATGTTGAACAACCCTAAAAGATATTTGTGACATTTAGCCATCTATTGTATTCTACCCTTTGGTTTGGCAAATGGAACTATTACTTTTTCTTTTTCTTTTGTTTATCAGTTTTGCTTTTTTTTTAAAATCAACAAATACTAGGTGGAAGGGTGAATGATATTTGTAGAAACTGGAAGGTCAAGAGAATCCATTGAAAATCAAAATATGTTCTTTAACAGCAATGCGCATTTCTTGGCTATCCATCAAAAAATACAAATTATCATACATATTCCGCTCTTTTTGCAAAAATCTTACGATTACTTCACTATTTTTAATTAAAAATTCTACTGAATTTTTTATAACTTGATGAGGTGATATAATAAAAATTACCTCTTGATTTACAGATATTTCCTTAATAATAGCCAATCATTTTGAAAAAAATTATAGTGATGAGGATCTTTGCAAAATGTTCTATTCAAAAAATAACTTTGTTGTGGAAGAACTAGAAATGATCAGTAAGGTCAAAACACACACCAAGATTAAAATGACAAATGACAATCTATTCGACAGCTATAATTCAAATAAAAAAATAAAAGCATTTGAGCTGGCTTTTACGGCTCTACAACGTTTGCATATTCTCATATTTTATTTTTAAACTGTCGTTTTAACTAATACTTATAGCTTCCATTTCGTTGTGTTTTTTAAACTGCTACAGAGAGACATTACTTTATTCCTTTTTTGTTCTTCAAAATTTAGTGAACTATTTGTTCCATCACATTCTTACCTTGAAAGTTTTTCGAGGTGAACATTATCCCTGAAATTCATGTAATTTTGAATGTACTATAATTAGTTCCATTTGAAGTAAATTACTGTTATCTCCTCGCTGATAAAAACATGATTGGTTTTTAAATTCTATGTTACATTGTATAATCTTCAGTTCGATCGTTGAATGTTTTATATATAAAAAGTGATAAATTGTATGGCGATAATTTTGATCTTTTTTATGAGTAATGGATTAATTACTTAGTTGAGAATATATTTAGTGCTAGTGAGTATTTGATTAGATTTATGGGATAATTGCTTTGAATGTTTATTTATGTAAATAGCATGCAATATATATTGGAATTAAAACCACTAAACTTACGCGATTCTTCCTCTTCCTCTAATTCAATTAATATTTCAGAGCAGCTAGTGTAGGAAGAACGACTTCACTAGAGTAGTAATAGCAATTATACAACAGTGTTTCATTTTGAAAATCGAAGAAGGCTAAATAGTTACTGGGAAGCGCAGAATAGATAACCGGTGATTATCACTGATAGTATTCAACACTTTTCTATTTTCAACAATTTGAATATCAGTAAGCATTGCATGGTCCAGAAGTTCTAAAGGTCAGTTTTCTAAAGGTTTTTTTTCTAAAGGTCACACATTGGTCAGTTTTCTAATTTCTTTCACACAAAAATATGTAACAAATCATTTTTGTGCTTTTCTCTTTGATCTTCCTTCAACACCGCTCGATGTTTTCACAAAATTTTTGGAGGATGAAGTTGGATATATTCAATCCATAACGGTGATGGACTTTTCCTCTTCATTTATCTTCCCATCTGCTTTTATTTTTGTTTGGCAGCTTTTAAATTTGATCTTTTACGATTTCGGAGCGTTCATTTCATCGCCAAATTTTCCTAATTTTAGCAAAGTAATGGCGCTTGGCTTGAATGTGTGGCCTATACTTATGGCCATACTAGTATTATCGTTTGCACCGTCAACACTAAGCCAGATGTCCACCAAATTGAACGAACGAGAAAGTTCGGATAATTCTACTCAAAATTTATCCCGGGATTTGCGCATGGAAGACATTATGCACCAAATCAATCGACTCAAAAGAACGGCGAAGAGTTAGTTGTTGAATTTATGTAAAATACACTTATTAATTCGATAGTAGACTCTATCTCTCTTAATGATGTAATCATTCCTATTTCTTTGTTTTTCTTCCAATTTGTATTTCCATCAACTTTCCTTATTTTTGAATGTCCCATTTCCGAATCCTAGAACTGAAGAAAGTTCCATCGTTTTGCAACTTGGCCCATTACACTTAGTTGAATTTTTTCCAAAATGACCTTAGACTTTCAATTTGACAAAGTCCTTCCGAGAAATATTAATATTTAATTATTTCAAGAGTTTGTAGAACCATCACAGCGGATAAAATTTTCTGGATAATAAAAAAAACTTTCGACAACTTTGTAAGTCCTACTAAGATATTGTAGAAAATGCACATCATTCACTAATTGCCTTTAATTTATGTCATACAATAAAGGGAGAAGTATAGAAAGCTGAATTGCAAAAGACCGCGAATGTGTCGTATCATTCGTTTTTATCCATATGCAGAATTTGTCTACTCCTCTGTCGGACATATTTAGTGCAAGAGTTTAGCTGGAAGTTCAGTTCTAACTTTTGTTCCCACATTGAATCATTTCCTCACTAGCAATTACAATTAAAGGTCTGATAACAGCAAATGTTTTTTTGAAATTTATATTTGTTGAACTGAGTGGAACGAAATATAAATATTTAACAACTTATTAAACTACCATTTTAAATGGCGGAATCTTTCATATAATCACAAAAGGTATTACTGGAATCTCTCTACTCCCGGGAGGACTCTACAGTTTACTGTTTGAACAGTACGTTTCCGGTAACCTTAAGCGAACATCCTGCAACACTTTCTGTAGCGCACTGTAATTCTAACTACCCTTTGCTCTATGAAAATCAGCTGCTTGCTCGGCTTCCATATCCCAATTGCTGTAAACACCTTCGAAATAAGAAGTGCCTCCGAGATAGACTTTCTGCTTTGGTCAACTATATAGAATTGTTACATCAGTGGTACCTTCAACTGATACATTTACGATTCAACAAAGGGTAGAAAATGCACGAATTAATTTGGAACGTTTAGAATAATTTAAATTCAGCTCTTATAACGCCATATGATTTGGGGATAACTAAAAAAACGCCGATAGCACTCTTTATAAAAACTCTTTGCATAATATCTCATCGATAGAAAAAAGTTAGCCTTCCGCTTCGAGCATGTTTAAAAGTGAAATGATACTTAAGTACATGAAACAAGTGACGGGAAGAAAATTCATCTTAAAATAATGCTGCAACAATACTTGCTTTATGCCTTATTCATTATTGCTATTTGCTAAAAGAACTTGCTGAAAGCTTTTACAACAGACCACAGATCGAGTGTTTATCTTTTTTTTATTCCCATTTTTGTTCACCTTGGAATTTCACCTAAGCAAATCCCACTAATGTGATTCGGTACCGAAAAATTTTCATTTAATTGAGAAAAGTCTACTTTCTTCCTTTTTTTTTTGTAAAATATTCTACCAATTTCAATGTTTCCCATTGGTCTTATGCAAATTAATGTACATTTTATCATGCTGGCGTTAATTTTCTTCAAAATTGCAATTACTGCAAGTGCTATCATTTGCTTTTCAACCTTTCTCATTATGATTGTGTTCGAAATTGAAATCAAAACAATTTGGCAACAAAAGCATTCTTAACCATTTTGAATGTACAGGTTATCCTGGCAAAATCATCAAAGAATGCGGCTTGCTGAGGAAGAGAGATTCTCGGAGAGGACCAGGTAAATAAGCGAGACGGTGATAAAATAAACAAATTTTGTTGTGATTTAGAGTGTTCCGAGGAATTAGCACATATACGCTGACATTTTGAGGAAAGACTGTTTCACATTTCTTTTTCCTTTGCAACTTATTATCCGGATACCCCCATGACCGTTGAATCCGACAATTTCATTCCCAAAAACTAAATCCTTTCTTTTAGCAAACCTTCATATTTGGTAACTTAATTCCAAAATGCTTGCCTGGTACAATTTTCCATCATTCCGATCTCACAGCACATTCCTTTACTCAATATTCGCTTTCAAATCAGTCATATTTTTTGCCCAATACGATCGTAAATCTGTGTATCGATCGTATCTACTATATGATTTTTTTGTCAACCGTCAGGCCTTGACCTGTAATCTTCCGGTTGATTCACGCCTCAGCATCATCTACCTTTCTTTTCTATGCTTCTCATTGCATCCAACTTGCATCTTTTGAATTTCCACGCTATTCTTCCACATATCCGAAGCATCAACAACGCCAAGAACTGCATGTCTTAAAAAAGCTTCTTGGATAAAATTTAATTGCTTCATTACAGTACTCTTTTTCTTTCTAAAATGACATGCGTTGACTGGTACTTTTAGCAATATTAAAATCATCATATTGAGATTTTAAGCTCAAATAATTTCCATTTGGTTAACTGAATCTTCATTCTCTTAAGTAGAGAAGGCACAAAGATATCTTTACTCAAATCAATGGAAAATTTTTGCTCTCCGATAGATGAAACTGAGAAACATTCGAGAGAAATTGTATTTGGGAATTATCGAAGTTAATGAAATCAAACATTTTGACAATTTCGTAGAAATTATTATAAATGTGTATGAATTGGAAATGAAGTATTTAACAAATTTCAATATTTTCATTGCCCCTTTCTTATTAAATCGTTGTAATAGTGTGTCTGGATTAAAGTAATGAAAAAATAATTTCAATCCTTGGTTTTTGGTTAAATTTACTTTCATTTATTCACCATATCAAATGTTGAATAAATTTGACTCGAGTGAAATTTAAAAGTTAGTTGGATGAAAGAGATTTATTATTGCCAAGAACATTTAAATCACAATTGCTTTCGAAAGGTCATCTTGGCCCTAAAGAGAAGGCAGAGTTACTCCTGACGTTCTTTATTTGTCACTATGCAATTTTGAATGCACCAGAGCAGTCTGTCTTTGCAACCTTTCAAAGCCAACTTACTGTCATACAGAACGTTTTTGTGATTCTCAAAATTGAATGGTATCTTCTGCTTTCATATGGTAGCTTCTATTATACCTATAAGGATTTGATTAAGCGAAGCAAATTTACAATCTTCGCCTTAGTACTACAAATGACGGAAATTTGTGTGAGAAATGTCGAACAAAGTTTACTTTAATTTAAGCAGAAAGTATTGCCAGAGTTGTTTAAAGATGCTTGTAAAATTGACAACTTTGTTATAAGCGTAAGCAACTTTCGGACTTTCAGCTTTAAAGTTACGATTGTTTTTGTAATCAAATTCTTAAATATTGGAAACTCTAACACATTAAACTATAAAATAAACTAACTGAGAAACATTGTAATGCAAGTTTTTGAATCTTAAGAATTCACCTGAATTTCCAAGATTCAAAATCTATAAAATGAGTTAATTGATAAACATTGTAATGTATAAAGTAAAAAAAAGGGAAAATCAAAACGATATGGTATGATAACACCTTCAGATTTGCCGAACTATCAGCAATCAAGTGTCGTTCTGTCAATGAACGACACTGGCCGATGTGTGGTCAGTGCTGACAAAGCTAGCCATTACTGCGGAGATATAGAAGGTTCGTGCCACCTATCATACTAATTGAAGACAACGCCTTTTTTCTGATCCGAGAAATCCAAGAATGAATTAATGAGAATGAATAATTTGGGAGAATGGGAAAATAAACCAAAAATGATAATGGAAATATTGTTAAGCACTGTGCTACTGATCATCTTCCTCCTTATCACTTTAAGTGATCAAAATTATGTTGCTTAATTTGCCAAGTTCTATTATTGACGGAATATTCAGAATCGTTATTAAGTATAATCGTTAATATCTTGTAGAGGGATATTATGAGACAGAAATGTCATCAAATTCAGTAAAAGATGTACACACCCCCTTTCTCGGGGTATGATGAATTTGCAAAGGTTAATATTAAGTGTTTAATAATCTTTTCATTATTGAATTATTTGATAAATTTCTCAAAAATTCTAATGCTGTGAGGCAAGTAATTTTTATTACTTACACCTCAAAAGCTCATTTTTCACTCCTAATAAAATAAAACATATTTTGATCATTTACATAAAATGAAATTAATTTACTGCCAAGGATATTGGAAAAAATGAGGTGACACATACAATATTTAGTACGCAACATTTATTGCTTCACTTTCCTTCAATACCTCAAATACTACGCAACATTTATTGCTTCACTTTCCTTCAATACCTCAAATACCTTAATTCTTGATTGCAAATAACTTATAAAACTAAATATCTTGCAATGAATTGTCCATAGCCAGAAGATAAGCATAAGGGAATAAAATTAAATCAATTTAAGAATTTTCGGTCTTTACATGGTATGGAACTTAGCATTATATCATTCTGCAGCTTAATTATTCGAGTTTCTCAGGATTTGAAAATTGGCGTTGCGTTGTGTTGTATGATTTTGGTGTGTGCTCAGCATATTTTACATAATAAAATTATAATTTTATTCATTTTTTTGCTCCTTTTATGTATCATTTTAGAAATTTTCATTATAATGCTGTTATTGTGAATTTTGATTCTCAGTTTACCCCTGCTGCAATCACTTCGTTTCTTTAGTTTTCAAAATTTTGCCACTTCTTTTGTATGTATACTCATTTCTTGCATGATTTTGTTCCCGAGTTCAGGATTTTTAAAAAATTTAATTTAAGAAAGGAAATCGAAACCAGAGAAAAATTCTGATGAGAAATTTCGGATAACACTACTATCACTACTTCTGTGGTCATTAAGGGTTATTTTATACAATTCCTTGACCATTTACAATCTTTATGATGAATAAAAGTGTTGATAATGATTTGATTTATATATCAATTTTTATCATCCGTAATTTTTCTTCGAACGCAGTAACTACCAAAGGCGAATACCTAGATTAAACACATTTTGGTCTTATCCAGACTGACATCTAGAAAACTATGTCATGTAGTTTCATGTGCCGAACAAAAACGCAATTCAGTCTATTAAAACTTCTCTGCGTTGCTCTCAGCGAAAAATTTGACTTTATTAGACTTCCACTATTTAGTGATTATGACCTATATCATTTGCATTCTTTGATAAATTATAGGAGAATTTTTCTGATTGTTGTGCTGCTTCACATCATTGGAAGATATTCCATATTACTTGAATGCTTGTAGATGCTTCCAACGATTAGATTGAGATGAAATGAAACGTTTAACATTTCACTCACCGTTTATTTTTCACTTACGGAAACGTGCACACATGTAGTCATGCATCGTGCATGTGCTTAAAAAATGTTAGTTTTTGATGATTGCATGCATACTTATGAAATTTGTAACAGCATGAAATTAAAAAATTTAGTGCATGCCTTGCACAGATTTCTTTAAACCATTGCAATAGTGCATCACCGCTTGCATTTGAATGGTTTTCAATTGCATTTGTTTTTCAAAAGAGCCTAAAAAGGAAGTACCATAAATTTTGACCTTTCATTTTGATGAAAAGAAAAGGCAACGAATCCAATGCACTATGATTTACATTGATTGGAAATTTTGATTTGAAAAATAATAATTTCATAACAGCTTTCGAAATTTTTTGGTCTTCATATAAGAACGAATCGAAAAAGTTGCTGAAATTAGGATTTGCAAGCGGTGCATGCTTATCGTCATGGAGTAAGCTATTTCTGCAAGCACCAACTATCTAAATTGAGGAAAACATTAGTTCCGTAAATTTTGCAGTGACAGCGCCACCATTTCCTCCTCCCGATGCTGGTCAGTGTCATTTTTCGAGTGAAAGTGGCCGTGAGATTTGTTGGCCACGATACGAGGATTTAGACACGACATGCACCGATGTAGGAAGTGGAATGGTTTCGGCACCCGTTATCAAACATGCTGCGTTAGTTGTATTATTATTTCCCATTTATACAAAATGTCAGACTACATTAAGCAGCGATTTCAATGTTCAGTTCCACTATTCCATTCAAATGAAAAAATTATATACCATTCGGTCAACCCAATGGAAAAGATCATTCGAGACTTCTTAATTTGCTTTCAAATCCGATAATAATATGTTTTTCTCACTTGAATTTTAGTATTCGTGCTATGGCATTCGTACCGCCAGATAATCTCCGACGTCTTGTGCGACAGTACTACCGACAAAAAGGTTTACCCATCCCAAGAAATACAACATTTAGCAAGAATTCATTCTTATTTGCATTATACGAATGCGATGAAGGGTACGAATTTGTGGATGAAGTGAATTCCATGTTTTGCATTAATCGCCAATGGGTTGTAACACCACCAAAATGTCGTGGAAAAGGTAACTGCAAACTTTTAAATTACCCTAAATCAATACTGAAAAGCCAATTTGTTTGGTGACAAATTAAATGATTCATTACGTCACGACAAAAGTCCTTTTTATATAATTTACAATTAGATATGTTTTTCCCATTTTTACAGAATATGAACTGAACATTAAAATTAATTAACATTTCTTATCCTTTGATATTAGATTGTAAATCATTATGTTCTTTTCCAAAACATCTTCAAACTCACCAGTTTTCATAATTCTATTAAAAAGTTTTCTTGACTTTTTGCAAATATCCAGTGCTAATATAAAATGTGCATTGTTTTTGAAGGTTTATGTGAAGTAGATAATGGTGGATGTAGCCATTCCTGTCTATCAATTGAAGATCGAGAAGTGGAATGCCGTTGTCCACATGGACTGGTTCTTGACAGCGATCAGAAAACTTGCATCAGTAGGATTTCACCGAAATCATATCACTTCTCATTGAGAAAAATTCTTAAATTCCTACAAAATACTTTTGTTAATGCATCAGACAGAAACATTTCGAAGTCATTGCTTGGAGCAAATGGAGGAAGTGTCACATCCGGAAGATGTCGAAATTTAGTGTTAAGATTCTTTCAGAACCGATCCCAAAGAATCTGTGTCGCATTCTGAACAGCTGTTCATGTACGGCCATTAATGAAAACCAATACTCATGCACCTGTCCGAAAGGAGAAAAATGCTTGCGTAAAAATTTAATTCCGTTTAAAAAACTGAACATTTAAGGAGAATCTTCAAAACACATATAATTATAACACATATAATCAAAACACATATAACTTTAACATATAATTTTTGATGTTACTGAAAACAAACCGAGCTTTATAGCAGAAATTATATTTGTCATCAATTTACTATCAAACTGAAGAGAAAATGATATATCTTTTGAGCGTGTAATTAAATAATTGAGATTGTGAATCAATCATATAAATTGAATTTGATTTTTTACAAGAATTTTAATCCAGTGCTTCGCGGTAGACCAAAGATTTATATTGAACCGGCAGCACCATATGAAATAACACCGGGCGGAAATTTAAATATTACATGTTCTGCAGTTTCACATCCATTTCCACAGATATACTGGCAACGGTAAGTTATCTTAAATTTTCAACAATTAGTTTTAAACTAAAAAAGAAGCCTTTCCTTTCACTTATTGCAATATATTTGTCCACTGGGGAAATGTATGTCCATTTTTGCCATTAACTTTCAGTTTTACCAGTTTTTTGATGGATGGTTTGACCATGTGATTCTAGTTTATCTAGTAAAAAGTGTCTTCTCAGCTTATTTGAACTTTCTTGGAACACAGAATATTCAATTGATCCTCCTTAGGTATTGCAATGTCGCATTGCTTTTCTTTTTTTTTTTATAGTGGTGATGAAACAGTTGATATCGCACCGGTGAAACCAGGAACCGTTCGAAGTGAGCAAATTCTGATCATCAAAGAACTTTACAAAAACACTCAGTTCACTTGTCATGCCAATAATTCACTGGGAAAGGCGGAACGTACAATTGAAATCGTTGTCACTGGTAGGTTTCATTTGTTATTTCATCCAATCCAGCAGCAATCTTTCTTGACAATATACAGTGATGTGTGATGGTGACACTGACTTCTATACTGTCGCAGAAATTTCATATTGCTGAAAGGCTCCTTAAATTGTAAATTTGACACAAACGTTGAATCAATATAAATATCATCATACAATCTTTTGAAATCATTATTTCATTCAACAAATAATTCTCGCCATTTGAATATCATTGGAGGTAGCGTATTTTGGAGAGTATTTCCACTTAAAACAAAAATTTCCAGTTTCCATAAATTTTCTTCTGCATTCTTTGCATATTATTTTTTGGTGTACTTCATCTTCCATGATAGTTTGGGAAATACGTATAGTATGTTTCATATATCATTTCGCTTTGGTCAAGAAATTGCTGATATAGGTCCCGGATCAGCACCAACAGTTCGCGGTATTGATGCTGGCCGTTCATCAGTTTACGTTCGATGGGATCCACCAGTAATTGTGAATCGACCGGTTACTTCATATACAGTTTATTATACAAACAATGGTCATCAACCAATCAAAAACTGGAAGAAAGTAAATGTTGAAGGTAAGTTATTTATAGTTGTACTGAAGATATCAGCATAGAATTGAAAAATATGGAATATTTTCAAACATACAAGATGATAGGTTTACCAAGCAGTAGAAAAAAATTATCAACTTATTTTACAGTAAATTAAAAAGTGCAGGACTTATTTCTTACTTTTACATAGAACCAAACCGTGAGGTAACAATCAAGGATCTTCGGCCTAATACGCAATATTTTATCCGCTTGAGAGCAAACGATAAACTAGGCCCAGGACGTCTCTCGAATCCAGTTTCGCTTAATACACGTAGACCAGGTAAGTTGAAAAAAAAAGTGTTAGATAATTGAAACAATTAAAATGTGAGGAAATTAGAGTTTTCAATTCATGTTCTCTCGATTACTATTAAGTTTATCGCGAAACTGATGTCATTTTCGGCTTAGATAAGCCAAGCAATTTCTACAGAAGTCATCACTCAAACTATCTAATTTTTATCACACTTAGCATTCTGGCAATTAATTATTACCTAATGGACTAGTTAATCTCCTTCAGAATGTTAATGACATATGCATTATTACTATATGAATGATTTGGTGATCTTAATGATAAGCTCCAATATTTACTGAATTCAATGGAGACAGGTTCGCCATTTTCAGGAATATCTATGCAAAGAATGAAAATGCGGAAGATTTAAAATTAGATATAACACTTTGGAATTTCAGCGGTACGACCGCAGCTATTCATTCAAGAGGGTGGCATGATATACGTGGGTCCACTACAGCGATTCAGCATTAGTTGTAATGTGACACGTGGAGATCCGTCACCTAAAATTGCTTGGTATACGAGGTACATCAACTGCTTTGAAATAAAATTAATTAAATTACAGATGATTGAAACAAAATACAACAGATAAAAGTCCCAATTCTTTTACTACTTCTTTAGGGAAATTACTGAGATGTTTTAGGTCTGAGAATTGACAAAACAACTGCTTTTAGAATTTTGAAACAAGGCTTTGCTAAAAATCTTCAATTCTTCTGGTTCTTCTAAATCTAACTGAGAAATCGATATCGATAGCTTACTTTATAGAGCTCGACCAATCAATAAATCGCAAAGGAAAAAATTTATAACAATGGAGCATGGCGGTTTGTATGAAAGCACAAATTTCTCATGTGTTGCTGAGAATGAAGCTGGTCGAACAACAAAGAGAATACAAGTCATTGTAACGGGTATGGGTTATTTTTAAATTAAGATGACGCAAGGAGTTGAAGTAAATACTTGTGCGATGAGTAGTGCTGGTATAATTTCACTTGTGTTATTGCTTAATTAATTACCATACAGGACCAACATCTCCCGAACGGATACGCTATCAAATTCATGGTAATAATGTCGATTTACAATGGGAACCACCGCGTATCACAAATGGACCACTGAAGGATTATGATGTCAGTATTTTTTCAACAATGTATAAATATTACCTAGAAATTTATAATCTCTGGTAACAATTCGAATTGATTTCCAAATGCTAAATATAAGCCTATGTATGCTTAGCTAGTTTAATCTGAAATATGAAGTAAATCTGAACTCCAAAATAAGTAAGGATTGCAGGTATTGTATACAGACAATCCGAACTTACCGGACGAATATTGGGAAGTTGTAAAAGCTGGAAGTCCAGATGCACGTTCCGTACGGATATCGAATTTGAAAGAAAGGAGAGATTACACGTTCAAAATACGAGCACACAACGAATTGGGTCCTGGCCTTTTCAGCAATCAATTTACTCTAACAACTTGGCTTGCTGGTTTGTGAACCTTTGTTATCAATTTTTATTATTTTCGAGTAATAGAAGTAAAAAACGAAAGTGAATTAGCAAAATATTAAATAGAAAGAGGATTTAGTTTCTGATATGTAGCTCGTCCGCCAACTGTAACGATCATTCCTGTTGAAAAGATAGTGAAAAACCCGAGCAATGAGGAACTCGTTTTTGAGTGTGAAGCTATTGGTGTACCGAGACCAAAGATACTGTGGCTTTGGAGCGGTGGCTTAGTCGAAGATGGAAAGGTTAGTTTTCGGATTTTCATCCATTTTAGTATAATTATTACAGAGGCTTGATAATGTTGCAGCGATTCAATCACTTATCAGGTGTCATGCGTTGTCACAGTGATACATGAAAACAGTACAGTGTGATTGGTGGTGATACCTTACCTCAACCAAAACATTATGCATCGGATTTTGGCATCATACATACAGTGAACTTTGCAGAACGAATTTCGAATTTATGATGTGACACCGCCAGATGTGCAAGATCGTTCTAACAGCAAATTAATTGCTGAGAAGACAAATCGAGCTGGAGTAGCCACATGTCAAGCCATCAATTCTCATGGTTTGTTATTTTTCAGTGCAAAAAGTGTTCTGGTAATTGCTTTGAATCAGTCGATAATTCATTTAACGGAACACTTAATGTTTTGAGAATTCCTGAAAGTTCCTACGACATTTCAGTAATGTTTGATATAACATAAATGTAAATGATTGCAATATTCCCCAAAAAACCATTTTTAATTAATATTATTAATATATCTTCTCTTTATAGGTTCGGATGAAAAACGTACTGAAGTGAAGATTCTTGGACCTGGAAGTCCACCTCGAGACATTTCGACAGTTCCATTTACAAACGACTTTAAAGTCTCTTGGAATCCGCCAAAATATCCAAACGGGAAGATTATAGTAAGCACACAATCTCTCCTTCAAATTTTCAACAATTTCAGAAATTTGCAACGCAAGTAAATCTTGAGCTTGGCAAAATAATGGTAAATCAAAAAAAATATCGTTTCTTCTTTTCCTCTCAACAGTAATCACGTATCCCTTGAAGGAGTTGGCTGACATGAATTCTCTAGAAATTTTGCAAAAGAACTTGCAAGAGAGATTAGACGACCGATCGGTAGAAGGTCGACTGTTAAGCAGTTTTATTTAAATTTCGTTAAATTTAAACATAGCTCAATAAGTTATGCATTTCAGCATTATATTATTTACTATACGAAAAATCCAGACGATATTCTGGAGGATTGGGAGAAAACAACTGTAGAAGGTGATCAGCTGGAGGTAACTATATCAGCAGATGAGGATACGCCATACAATGTGAGGGTACAAGCTGTTACTAAGGATGGTCCTGGTATCATATCAGAAGCGTATGATGTTACTACTGGCAAAAAACGTTAGCTTTTATCATGCGTGAAATTTCGCGTACGGTATATCCGAAGAATTTAATTTTGCATGTAAATTTGCATGAATTTAGGATAGGATATAATGGGATTGTTGTCAATTTTGGTCTTCAAACTGCATACAGCCTCAATATAATTTAGGATAAATAGCAAAGGTAATAGATTGTTGTAAGTACAATCAAGATGTGATAGGTAATACTTTTGCAACGTACCTGGCCTACAAGAAACTATCACTACCCTTATTCATTTTTCAGCAGTTCCGCTTTTTGTAAAACTGGTCATATTGGATCCTCAAGTAGAGGAAAGTGATACGGAGACAGTCGTAGAGCCGCTAAAGACGATTATATTTAAATGTGATGCGAAAGGAAGACCAGCACCTCAGATTTCATACACTTGGCTTCCATTCAATGAAACCGAAAGCGGACAGGTACGTTTGTGATCATCCATGCAATGTATTTATGAGTGTGCTTGCATAGATCAGATTACTTCTACAGTCACTCTAAAACATTGAAAAACGGATTTTTTAATAAATAAATCAGTGAAATTTGAATACAAGTTGAGATTTTGCACACCCTCGTATGGCATGATATGAAGTGGCATATTACAGTTAAAGAAGCACATATCCTTACTCTGATAATATCTATGTCACATCATTTCTTTATGATTTATGAACGATTTGTGATTCAAAACGATCAAGAACTGAAGAACTTTTATAGCAACCAATACCGATCCCGGCTTATTCGGATCCACAAGAAGCGCACCGATACCATTCGCTGGATATGAACACTAATACAGCTACTAAACGTGCGTTAATGTGCAATGCTCGAAATACAGATGGTTCTGTGAGCGACCGACACATTTTCAATGTTCTCAGTATGTTTTTTCATGTATATGCACGAATGTTTTAAGAGATTCAAAAGAAATCTTGGTCATTCGTTAGAATTAAAGTACTAAGAACTACTGCTGTACAACTGCCAGCGAGTAAGATAATAGGATAAAGCTTAGAAATTAAAATAATAATGGACCTGAATATGAAAATATTTCAGAACCAGGCAGCCCACCAGAACATATTCAGGCAATCATTGATACGGACAATCGTGTCACAATATCGTGGCAAGAACCAAAATATCCTAATGGACCCATTGTAGTTCGTTTCATATTATAAAATAATTCTTAGTCAATCAGATATTCGTAAAATCAGATTACTTATTAGAAATCACTGGAATCCGAATTTAATTATGGGCGAAATTCTTTCTAAAATGCAAATTGTTTTATGCTAGAGTTGCAGCTGCTAATTAAACGAAATTTAACTCATTGTAATCATTTTAAAAAGGACTAAAATTTATGAACTTATTAGAACGAGAAAGGAAGAAGGAAAAAAGAACAATTTATGAAGTTATAATAGTTTTGGTTGTAAGGAACTTATTCATTTATTTGTTTGTTTTATAATGTTCGGAATGAATTTTTTATCAGCACTTTTGCAAATTCTTCTTAGAACCAATAAATCCTAACTGATTTTTGGAAGAATTCGAATTACTTCGACCTTTCCTTAGAAATATAAAGTGTATGTGACGTCCGATCCGGGTGAACCGATCAGTTACTGGAACATCTATGATGTTGAACCGAGTGAAGCGCCACGTTTGGTACTGGAACGTGGTAAATTACAACCAGAAACACCGTATTATTTAAGGGTTGCAGCAGTCGGTCAAGAGGGCGAAGGCTTACAGTCTGATATCGTTTTATTTGAAACAGTTAGTGGAGGTACGTTGTTTTCGATCTGATTGTTTTGTTCTTTCTAATCCTATACCGTTTCCATCACCACAGAAAGGGTTAGAGGAAACTTTCAAGGGTATTTAATGTTTAGTTAGACTCGCCAATATGGGGAATTGAACGAAGATCCTGTACTTCTGTGAAAATTCGGAATTTAATACATCAGTAAATTCACTTTTAGCACCAATCGATGCGCCCAAGGATGTGCTGGCAACAGTGGAGCAGGACAACACTATGGATATATCTTGGACAGGACCAAGTGTTCCCAACGGTCCCATCCAGGCAATTTTGCTTAACCATTAGAGTATAACACGAACAGAACATCAATCCGAATAAAACCTACTGAAATAAAGATTAGCAAAAAAAATATTAATTAAAAATTCTATACTTGTAGGCTTACACGGTCTACTTCACTCCGTTGGATCAGTATCAAACATCGGATGATGCTTACAAACAATGGGATAAAATTATCGTTCAAAGCAATGACAATTTTGGAACCTTACGCTTGAATAAAGATGCCCACGACATTCTGCCCAATCGATTGTACCGAGTTCGGGTGTCTGCAACTAACGACCTATCGGAGGGTCCAGCAAGTGAATCTGTAACAGTCAGGACAGAAAGTGGAGGTCAAGCTGCTAGATTGTCTTTTTATACTTTCCTCAGTTACAATATTTTTATGAATTAGACATTTTATCCAAGTAAAAAATTTGGGAATTTAGATACGTATTATAAATTCAAATTCCTTCGCTTGCACAGAAAAGAGTTTCATCTCCGTTTTCTTGTTTGTGTTACAGCTCAAGTGAAATTGTCTGCTTCAGAAACACCCCCGATAATATTTCTGGAACCGGCTGATAATCCAGTCACCGTAGCACCGTATGGTTCAATATCTGTGCGATGCACTGCAACAGGAATACCGCCACCTACCATTATGTGGATTATTGGTACAAATGCTAGTGACGTCATACGAGGATCAGTCCTTCAATTAACCAATCTCCGGAAGGATGAAACTGCAACTTGCATGGCTGAAAATAACGCTGGACAAGTTCAAGAAGTGTTGCAAATACTTGTAGCTGGTTAGTTTTTCTCATATTTTGTTTTCCGCTTATGCAAGTGACACACGCAAGTGGGCGGAAAAAAGAATTCAAGTGCAAACTTTAAGTTTGAACAACATAATTCTGCTATTTTTCCAGACATTCTTATATCGAATTGTTGATACTCAGCTCTCCGTGTCTTTTTCTTTCATCCGACTTTTATTCATTTTAGGACCTGGAACTCCACCAAACGAGATTGTCGCTTTTCCTCTAGAAAATCAACAAGCAAACATAGAGTGGACGACGCCGGACAGTCCGAACGGACGAATTACTGATTACGTTATTCATTACGGCGAAGTTTTTAATGGTTAGTAATGAATTAATTTGGTCTTACAAAATTGCACAGTGTTTAATCCTTACACCGCTATTCAGTAGTTTTGATAATCACAAAATTCTGCCGTTTTTGTCAAGGTCAAAAGTATATGCATATAACATGGCCGTATTTGTTTCTTTTTTTCTCCCAAGCTAAGATCAAAATTGTTTATAATTCAATCGAAATATTTATGTCAAATCATTAACGAAAGCCAAATTAAATCCTTCTTATTTTTTAATCCGTAATGCTTGAAATGTACAAGTTACAGTATTTAAATTCATAATTTATGAAAGATATTCATTAGTTTTCGTTTTACAGGAGAAGCTCTTCCACGTATCTGGGAAGCTGTACGAGTATCAGCTGAAGAACCACAAAAGTATCGTCTTGCTGGATTAAAACCAAAAACTAATTATGCGATTCGACTGCAAGGGATCAGTGATCGTGGACCGGGTGTTTTATCCGACCCGATCAAAATAACAACGCTACCACTAGGTTACTTCAGCAAAAGTTTTTGCTTAAATTCTCACAATTTTTAAAGTTGGAGGGAAATCGAGCATATATCCGAGAGCTTTGGTTTTAATTTAATCTTTTACTGGTTGCCATGAAAATTTAAATTTAGCGCCTGCTATTGTCCAACCAGCTGATATAAAAGTCCATGAAAATAATACTGTTGCTATCCAGTTCGATGCACCGAGGGATCCTGAAGATCCAGGAAAACCCATCAAGGTTCGTACAATAATAATCGGCAACATAATCAAATATATCATCAGTTGTAAAGCTTATTCGGGTTTCTTGTCATTGTCAATTACAGTTCATTTCCACATTTAATTCCTTCAATTTTCTCTAGTAACTTAAGCATTTTCAATTAAGTGCATTCATCCGTTTCTGCACAACTGTACAACTACTATCAGTTCAGAAAACCTGACTTGATGTTGATATGGAAACACGGCTATATGGGTATATTTAGGAATTCGTTATCCACTATACAGATGAGGATCCATCGAGTGAAAGTGCGCAATGGAGAGAAGTGTTTTGGACGGAACCAGATGACGACTTTTCAGTTAGCATTCCCATCGGCGGCGAACATTTCAAGCCAGATACCAAGTATTCAATCAAAGTTAGAATATTTTTAATCTGTTTGATTCAATATTGGAGCTCTTAGTTATTAAATGAACGAAGTTTTATTGAAAAGAAGAAACTTTAACAAAATCCTATCATATTTGATTTGTTGTAGATAACAGCTCGCGGCGAAATCGACAGCCCACCGTCGGAGCCAATTGTCTTTCAAACGGGAGATGGAAGTTTGTATTCATTTATTAGTAGAGAGGTCGAACGGAGACTGTTAAGTTTGAAGAAAATAAATCGAAACTGTGAAATTCTTCAGCTACAAGTCTGATTTCTTTTCCGGGTTTAAATTGGACAATGTCAATTGCCTTACGCGGTAATTTCCACTCTCTGGCATAGTTCAACATGAATAGTGTTTAACTAGCGGAACACATTCCAGTTATTCCGCCAGAAAAACCACAAATCAATGTTGATGTACCAGATAACGTGATACGTGTACCAGCTGGTAGTGATTATACAGTTGGCTGTTCATCAAGCGGATTTCCCGCCCCCCGAGTTTTTTGGGTTGATAAGGACGGGCAGGCAAGTGACATATTTTCCCTCTTCTTTCATTGCTTTCTTTCCATTTCCTTCTCATTTGTTCCAAATTCAGATTAGAAACAGTCTTAACAAATCCATTTTTTTTTTGAAAAAATCACAAGAGGAAACAAACAATATCACTTCATTAAAACTGAAAAAGCTTGCAAACACATGTTGCTATGGTAGGAACGAATATAAATTTATTGTCGTTTTAGACCCTTAGAAAAAATTATGCTTCTTTTAAAAAAAATTAGCGAATTTAACTCATATTGCTCTCTCCACTTTAGGTTTCGTATTTCGTTCGAGACTGTTTGAAATTTATTTCAAAATATAATTTTTTGTGATAAAATGCACTTTTGAAAGCCGCATGGTGTTTATTAAAATTTTACATAAAGTTTTGCACTAACAAGATACAAGTTAATGATAATTTCTGAAAGATCCCAACATGCCATTTTACACTGCCAACTTTCCTGATTTATTTTCTGAAAACATTTCTTCAGCCTCTCAGCGATGGACCGATGCTGAGATTACAAGATGTAAAAGAAACCGTACAAACAAAATGTGTTGCTGAAAATAAAGGTGGACGAGCTGAAACTCCGTTTGAAATTTTCGTCACTGGTTTGTTTTAAGGATTCCTTTTCTTTTAATAATCATGGATTGAACTACTTAATATCGTCCTAAGATCCTGAAATTGCGATAACCTCAGACAGATCCATTCCGCAATATTGTCAAAGACGGCGTACAGCCTCAGCATTTTGATTTGAAAGTCCTATGGTATTAACTTCATGTTGCAGAAATTTTAGTATTTTAAAGTTCTTATTTCGTCTTGCTATATTAAGCAAAGGAATTTATGTTCCAAGTTTTAGGTCCTGGGAATGCACCAAGTAACATTCGCTTAAATTCGGTAAAACCGCGTACTATTTATATTGATTGGGAACCACCAACGATACCGAATGGAAATATTACTCGTTATATTATTTATTACACTCCTCTTGATGATCAGGTTAGGTTTATTCTACAAAAAAATGAAATTAAAATTTGCAGTTAATTGACAAGCTGTATTCATATGTTGGCATTTTAGCACCAATTCTTGGAAAAAATGCGCATTTTTGTTTGTTTTTAGAATATAGTTTATCAAATGGGACAAATTCCAAAAAAGCCAATAACCGAATGGATGACATCCCATAAAGATAACGAACCACTGACTGGGGTGCCGCAGCGGGCTGACCTAGTAGATTTTGTTGAACCGGATACTGCTTATGCTGTGGTGCTACAAGCTGTCAACCAGGATGGACCCGGACCATATTCCGAGCAACATACCATCCGAACGATGTCACGCGGTTTGATTTTTTGATAACTTCTAGGCAAATGGGAAATGGAATTCGGAGAAGGAAACATCCACCTGTCTTTAAATACCAGTCTTACTCCTAAACTTAATGAAGTACATCACATCTCCTTATGGATAGCTCAGTTAAAAATTTATCGGTAATTAGGTTTTTGTTAGATATTTAATATTTAGGATACTCAAAAGAATTTCAGCAAGAGAATTGGGGGTGGGGAATATATTCTGTTTTTCTAAAATATATTCCTATTTATTTTTGTTCTTTAGCTCGAGAGGGTCCACCGCTTGACCTAAGGGTTGAACCAGAAAGTCAGCGATCGGCAAATGTTGAATGGCATAGGCCAATTACTAGCGAACAACCACCGATTGGCTATGAATTGTATTACATTAAAGCAGACACTAAAATCTGGGAAAACGATTTAGCTAGCATCGACGACTGGTATGCTTTTCGATTGAGGAAAACTGTGAGAAACGATAAATTGAGGCCTTCTGAAGTAAATTCTTTTGTGGTTAAGGTATTTCAAAATCAAACTAATAACATGGATTGTAAAGCGACAATTTAACCTAATGAAGTACGATTGAATTGTTCGGCAATATAAATTGATAATAGGAATGCAGCTGTAAATGAAGTAATTATATCATCACTATAGTTAAGTTTCACGAACGAAGATTTGGGAAGGGTTCTGTCCACGCTTGCCGCAAATGCTACAAATGTGAGTGTATTTCTCGAGCCTACGCAATAGGTTTTTTAGATGAGGTACAGCATGCACGGAACTGTCCCCATCCTTTTCACTCTTAAGTTCATTTGTAGGACCTAGTGAGCTTGGTCGGTGATAGCGAAGTCCTCCAGACATAATTTTTGTTTGATTAACCTTTCTCTTAGATGGAAAGCTTTACATTCTGCTCTATCTAGTCGAGTTTGTGTTAGAATTGTCTTCCTCCTAGATTGACTCTGGGAGATTATCCAGTCCATCTTGTCCATAGACACACTTTTGTGACCCTTCAGTCAAGGCCTGTCTGGCATGGGTGATCCTACCACATGTCCCATTGCCAGCATAACTCGCAATCTTATAAGACGCGCAAGCTTCTACCTTGACTAGGGATTGTCCGTGGAGAACTGATTACATAGTCTTGAAATAACTGATGAGACATTCCTTTCAGAAACAGTGGTTTAATTTATCTTTTCGGGCAGTTTCCGATCAATAGCTTAGGCTTGATTTGCATTAATTCGGATTTTATCGTCAACAAGTATGCTCCGAAACTGATAAGAGTGAATTACTGTCAGCAGTACAAACGAGTTATACCAGATAACGATAAGGTGATTTAAAAATGGTAGATAAGTTGTGAGCAGTAAGTGATAACTGACTTATTTTCTGCAGATGTGTTATAACTCTATTTCTTTCTCTCCCCTAAAAATTATAAATATTTTTATTAGCAACCATCTTTTGTTAACTTACATTGATCTAATGTTGACGCTTTTTGGCCGATCAGTTTTGTAAGCGATTAGAAACCGGGTTAAATTCTACCCAAATTTCGTATACTTTTTGCTTGTAGGAGCATGATACCAATAACGGAAAAAGATGAAGATAGGCTTTATTACAAAATTGATGGATTACTTGAACCGGACACAGAGTACGTGTTTCGGATGCGCGCTATTTATCCGGATGGGCCAGGAGTGTTCTCCGACGCTTGTATTACCAAAACACTTCCAGACGGTTTATTTTTTTTAATCTGGACCACTTAGATATACCTATCTAAAATGCCAATAACAGCAATAAATGGAGCTATTAAAAGCAAAATAACTAATTTGTTCAACAAATTGAAGAGAACTAAACTTAATATCAAATGATAAGTGCAAAAACAGTATTTACAGTCTTTTTTACTTTATACGAATATGAATTTCTGGATCAATCAAAAAAACATGTTTCAAGTTCAGGTAACGCCCCATATATTCTCATTTCGAACGGTGATCACGGAGTGGAAGGTAAAACGGAAATAACGATCCTTCCGGGATCGGCGCTTGATCTCTCATGTAATGCAACAGGACAGCCTCGTCCAGCAGTTAAATGGATCCGCTCAGGATACTATCCGATTGATCCTGCTTGGGTTTCGTATTTTGAAATCTGCAACATTTTCTTGTCTTCTTTTCAATGGGTCAAATTGATGAACTTGACCGCTTCTTAAACCAATCATTTCTATTCGACATCTTTTTGGAAAAAAGCAACATATTATCATAGATCTCGGGTGTATTTAGGTAAAAGCAAACGAGAGGTATGCCATATGGTTTCTGAAAGTATCTAACATTACCGAAGATACATCATTCAACTGCGTTGCACAAAGTCCGCTCGGTTTTGCCAATTGGACCATCAGTGTTCGTCTTGTTCCAGGTGAAAAATTCAATTGTCTTACCTCTCGGGATTTCCAAGCTTGAGCACTAACATATCTGTGATCAAAGAAGAACTTAATAATGAATTTGAAGCATTCATTCAGATTAGCTCTCAAATTTCTCATTTCCTTTTTTCGCTGATTATGTCTTGTCGGGAAAGCTAGGAAATGCTGTACTAGCTTCGCAGTGATCTCTTTTTAGTCCTTATCATCCAAGGGAGAATTTTGAGATTTTAATCCTTTTAAGAAGCAACTTTATTGACAAAAACAATGAGCATCTTTCTATCGGAATAGATTTTCAACAGTTGGATATAAGCATCAGGATTTTTACAGACCTTCGATCAACATGGAAAAATGATTTCATAGTTGCGAAGAATGAGGATGGTGAGGTGGCAGTACACTTTACAGATGATTTACCGGATTATCTTAAGGGACCTGTAAGCATTTTTCTAAATAAAATTTAGATTCATAGCAAAAGACTTTTCCCTTAATATTCTGTATTTTACAAACTTTTAAATAAAACGTAGAAGTGATTTATGAGGTTTTAGCAGAATCCTTGGAATATCTACTGGACTGACAATCCTTCGAAACCTTTCGAAACTTGGAATTTAATTTCATCTGATGGTCGTCCCTTAGACCGTGTATATATCCCTGAAATGGAGCCAGGTGCCAAGTATCATTTGTTAATTGAGCAGCCATCTGCTGGAATCAAAACACCAATCTTCGACATCATGACTCCAAGTAATTTTTAGTCTCCTATCAGTTTATAGATTGAACTTTGTAGTTTCCAAAAAGCAACTTGAAGCGTCATCGCAAAAATCCAGAAACGGATCTACTTCTTGTTGCAAATTTTAGAGCCAGTTGGCGACATACGCGTTGGAACTGATATCAACGGCGAAACAGTGCTAGATTTCAAGCCAGCACTTGCTACGGAACCTATCAAGGTAATTTATTACGCCACCAGTAAAACAGACTGTAAGAAGTAGGAAAGTTTTAGGTTTCGTATAATAATTAAAAAAGTGCAATCGTCCGTAATATATATTAAGGCACAAAGACCTTCTCGACATTATCCATGGTATACCAACCATAACGAATTCTTCTTCTTAAACTTTGTAACCGCATTGATGAACTTTCCTTAAAACTTCTTATATCTCGAAGGTTCTGAATCGGTAAGGTCATTTGCAACATCAAAATCTTCAATGATCTTCTATTGCCGAAAATTTCAGAAATACATTATCAAATACTGGCCAGATGACAATCCATCAGCTGTAATGTACATGGAAACACCAGTCAACGTTACCGACAAGATTGTGCTAGATAGCTTGCAGCCTGATACTGATTATAATTTTATGGTAAACGTTTTGATCATCCTAAAGATTACTTATGGGAAGACTCAGTTATTCCTCACTTTCTCAGTTATTTCAAACTAACTTTTTTCAAATGAATTACTTGTTAATTTTTGTATTAATTTAAGGTTACTGCAAAATTTGACGACGGCGATAGTCTTGCAAGTGAACCAACTAAAATACGTACACCTTCCGGAGGTGTGTCACCTTTTCTTCCCTGTCAAATCTTCTTTACATGTAAAACCTTCCACAAATGTAAAAAGCTTTTAAGTAGCAAGTCTGGTGGTCTGGTGGGTATCAGAAATTGAGGTCGATGATTTCATGACCCTTAAGTTTCTATAGATAAGATGGTAAGTTCCAAATTTGAGCATTGCAGATATTCAGTGTCACTGTGCACATGCCTGCATGTTTGAAGAGGATGAGGAAGGAGTGATAACAGCATCATGCTACTGTCATAATGGTTTCAAACTTGCTGATGATAAGAAATTATGCGAATCTATAGAAGAAGATGAGGAAGGGGGTATTGTTCAGGTAAACTTTTTCAGAATAATTTGACGGTCAATATTTAAATTTATCAGGAATATTGCTTAGAATTAATATATTTTGACATTTATACAGAGTTAAATCTATTTGCAGAAATTACAGAATGATAGTATCCTATTCCTACGAATCTATGTGTCTCGTCTAAAATTCATTTAAAACGTCCTCACAAGTTCCTAGAGCAATCGATTTCGAATTTGAAAAATTATTTCCAGGTTACTCCACCAACACTAACTCCTGAATCCGAGCATCCGAAGGAACTGTCTACAATGTCAACTCTTTTTGATGATTTGGTACCGAAGTCGGAGAAACTTGATAGGACAGAAATTCTGGAACCAAAGGAACGTGAGAGAGAGTCAAAAACCGAGCCTTCGCCAACCGATGGGTTCGGAGGAGCCGTTTGGCAGGATGAGCAATTGGTAACTACAGATGCGAGTAGAGAATCGGTTAATACCAGTATTTCGCCACTGTCAACTGATTCTGGTCAGCAACACCGTGTTTTGTCACCAGTCGTTGATTTCGATGGTATACCCTTGCCCACTGATGAATACGGGCATGCAGTGGATAATCTCGGAAATCCAATTATGTGGAATGATGAAGGCCAGCCAATAGGCCCAAATGGGACTCCTTTACGTCGCAATTACAAAGGAGAATATATATATCCAGTTGTTGGGAAAGATGGACAGCCTTTGCCCACTGATATTAACATGAAACCGATTTATCCTGTTATTGGACCAGACAATCAGCCGTTCCGAAAAAACCAGGAAGGAATGCATATCGATCAGTATGGCCGAATAATCCCAACAGATACTTCTGGACGCCCAATTAGTGTTGATGGGTCACCTTATCCAACTGATGAACACGGTCGATATGTTGTGGATTCGGAAACCATCATTCAGCAAGATATACCAACGGATGAGCTTGGACGTGTTATCTATCCAGTTTTCTATCCAGATGGAATGTTACTACCAACAGTGGAGGATGGTCGGTTTGTTAACGAACATGGACAACTCATCCCAACCAGTGATGCCGGATTGCCGGTTAATGAGAAAGATGAGGTGTTACCAAAGGATTCTGAAGGAAATTTTGTTTATATAGGCAATTATGTTTTGCCCACTGATTCTGATGGACAGTCTGTGAAGATACAATATAACGGGAGACTTCTTAAGAGCAACAAAATGGGACGTATCATTGGTCCTAGTGGGCAATTAGTGCCAGTAAATAACTACGGACATCCAGTTGACGAATCTAACACTATACTTCCAACTACTTCTGATGGCATATTTATACTACCAATGATTGATGGAAGGAGTGTGGCAGTTTCAGGAACGGAACAAAGGAAGGGAGCGAAACGACCTCTCAGTATCATCGGACCTAATGGACATTTGCTACCGACTATGGAAGATGGTACTGTTTTAGATCCTTTTGGAAAGATCATACCAACGAACAACATTGGAGAACCAGTGAATTATCGTAATGAACCGCTACCAACTGACAGTGACGGACAGGCTATTTATCCAAAGGATGGCTTGGACTGCCCACTGCCTCCAACAGACGAACATGGAAGGCCGGTTTATTCAGTGGTTGGACCAGATGGGAGGTTACTTGCTCGAAAACACGACGGAACTGTACTTGATCCAGACGGCAACTCACTCCCAACTAATGCAGCTGGAGTACCTGTCGACAGTAAAGGACGGCCTTTACCCAGTGATAGAAATGGTTCTATCATTTATCCAGCTAGAGGAATCGATACTGAACCCCTTCCAACAGATTCTAATGGAAAACCGGTATATCCAGTAATCGGAATTGACGGAAGTTTGTTACCGACAGATAGAGACGGCAGAGTGATCGAAGAGGATGGAAAGCCTCTGCCAACAAATGCTGCTGGCGTTCCGGTAAATGAGCAAGGAGAACCACTGCCATTCGATCAGAATGGTTACATCAGATATCCTGTCACAACAGAGAGAAGAGGGAAACCTACATACATCATTATCGGGACAGATGGAGAACCGTTACCACGAAATGAAGATGGATTGATTATTGGTCCGAATAATAGACCAGTGCCAACTGATGCTTCTGGATACCCAGTGGATCATGGTGGAAGACCTTTACCTCGAGATCAAAATGGAAATATCATTTACCCTGCCAACGGTATAGATGTTGAACCGATGCCAACTGATCGAAATGGCAGACCCGTATATTTGGTAATCGGGCCGGATGGCCAGTTGCTTCCAAAAGACAGTGATGGTGCTGTAACTGATGCCGATGGACGACCTATTCCGACAAATGCTGCAGGAGTTCCTCTTGACCACTATGGAAAACCGCTATCTGTCGATCGAAATGGTTATGTTTTCTATCCGAAGCAAAGTTACGAATCTGATCGAACCGGTGTACTGACACACTCTATTTTGGGACCTGATGGAGCTCTATTGCAGCAGAATGCTGAAGGCGCATTTGTTGATCCCTATGGCAGGCCGATTCCAACAAATTCCAATGGATATCCTATTGATAATCACGGAAGGCTTTTGCCAAAAGACCGCTTGGGTAATTTTATAACGAACATTTCAACTTTGTTCCATCTTCTCTACTTTTATCCAGGTCAATCAAGGAAAACATTGAGGAGATTCATTTAGTAGGTGTTAATTATGGATGCAGATAGATTAGCTAATTAGCGTAAGAAATCATCAAATTAAAAATTTCCGAAT